CTCCCAGGTTGTCCCTTTTCTCACTTCTTCATATGGGTAGTTCTTAGGCAGATGCTGGACTAGAGAGTACCTTCTTAGACAGGCAAGGGCAGGCTAGTGGGCAAGTGCACTGAGCACCTGGAGTCAAAGGTTACTAATAAATTGTTATTTTGACAATAAAGGCAAAACTTAATTTTCCTGCTATTGGCCAACTCATCTTTTAAATATTATATTGAATTTTTTTCCCCTTACCTGACAATCTAGTCAGAGTAGATCCAGGTTGTGGGGCCCGAAGGTTATTTAATTTGAGGGGTCATCCTTAAGGAGATGAATGTAAATTACGAACACAATTTAGAGACAGGTCTAAGAAGGGACTTGTGTAGATGAGGGTTGCTGAAGCTTAAGTTCTGTAGCTTCCTGGTAAATCCATCTCTAGTCCGGCACTTTCCCCCTTCAGAACAACTCTGAAGACCGATTACTCTGCCCACATCCATTTAGCACAGTAGATGGCGTTCAGGAGTAATGTAGGCCAAAGGCCCTACTGGACCCTGGAACCATTTCTGATCCTTTAAACCACCTGAGCACTGGGAGAAAACATGTTGAGAGAGAACTGCTGAGCACCCAAAATAAAGGTTACTCTATCCTACATTTTTGTGTATTGTATTGTATATTGCATTTTTGTATATTGTATTTTATATATTGTATATTGCATATTGTATTGGATCCTATAATGGAGACAAGAAAATTTAACATTTTCTGGTCACATAGCATAGTGCTGTATTTGACCTATAAAGAAAAAAGACTAATATTTGTTTAGTGCTCATTATGTGCCAAGCATTGTACATAGATTAGCACCTTTAAACCTCATAACCGCACCATGAGATTGGCATTCTTACTCATAACCAGAGCTCAGGAAATTAATCTGCTTGAGTGAATGGAGAAAGGGTTTTGATTCATATCTGTTTCTTAATTATGCGAAGCAGCCTCTTATTATAAACTTAAATTAAAAAAACCAGAGAGTCAATCATATCCTTTGTTGACAGCACAATCTTTGCACTAGTCAGACAAACATGTCTGCTCTCCCACACAAGCCATCTCTGAGCCTTTCTGCTTGATTTTGCTGTTCTTTGGGCCAGTTCATGTTCTTCCTTTAAAACAGTATCGAAACTTTTTTTTTCCTGACAGGAAGGTTGTTCTAATAAATTAAATTTGTTACGGACAATTCATTTGCCCCAAAATTTCACATACAATGTTCACTGTCATTTTATATGTTTGTAATATTGTTTCATTGGGTTCTAAAATCTTTGTGAGTGAAAATTTACTTTTTAATTTAAATTGTGAAGACTAAAATCTATAGTCTCTCTTAATTGTCTTTCCTTATTCTAAAATAATATTCTGAACACAGAAGGCAACTAAAATATTGTTGGTATAATAATATTTCTGCACAAGAAGTGATAAAATTCCAAGCTCTGACAATATTCTATAATAACCTTGTACATGGCAGAATTATACACTTCTATAGATTAATTTGAATACTTGACACATATAAAGGCAATGATTTAATCACAAAAAGATGATTTCATAATTTACCAATTGTTGAATACACAGTGCTTCCTTTAATACTACTGCAAATATATCTTGATTATACATGAATATATTATAACTTGGTACTAACAGAGAAATGAACTGACACGATGGAAGTTAACGTGTAACAGGAGATATGACTTTTCACATTTGCTAAGCAAGTTGTAATTTTGAACTCCTAAAACACCCAGGGGATAATAAATTTCATATGCTAAATGAGTTCCCTGTGTACATCATTCAAGATCAAATAACAATGCCATTTTTGTTTATTTTGAAAACAAAGTCTTAAAATGTAGGTTTAAATTACATTTACATAAATTTCACCTTATCTATCAAATAAGCTGTTTTGATTTTTTATTATAGCTTCAAAACATTTATCAATTTAGCTCTGCTAAAAAACAAATGAATCACTCAAGTGACTATAAGTAGAATTAAAATTCTGTATTTCCTTAAGAGATGGAGACAGTAGGACAGATGAGATATTCCTAATCCACTGGATTAAACTGATTACTCACAAACCTCAACTGTCATTTGGTTTATTATTCACAGGGTTTCTTTTCTCCATCTACAGTAAATAAGGACGGCTGGTACTTAAGGAGTTGAACCTTTAAACACTAATGTTGCTTATATCTCTCTATACTTATAAGTCATGAGATGAATATACCAGAATATACCAGATATTTCTTTAATAAGAGTTTTGATATTAAGTCCACATTGTAGTGACAGAAATAACATGAATTGTTTTTGAGCCTATGCTATTCTGCCTAGGACATATCAACATTTGTAATAAGAGATTATTCATAAAAACCATATATACTTTCAGTACTTGCCCTCAAGTTTACATTTAGTTTAGTAAAATACCCACAAAGTATCCAAATATGGAACTAGAATTCAGCCTTTTATATTCATACAGATTCTACTTAATCATTAGGTGAAAGAATAAAAATGAACTGCTCAATATCCAACCCATGCAAACTTATTTTATTCTTTTTTTTAAAGTTTATTGGGTAACACTGGTTAATACAATTATATAATTTTTAAGTGTA